ATACATAGATAGATAGATAGATAGATAGATAGATAGATAGATAGATAGATATCCAAAATTTGCTATATTTAAAGTGGAAGAGTATTCCGTATTGAAGATAGTGCCTCTATATGGAGAGAAAGAGAGAGAGAGAGAGAGAGACTTCGGAGTCGTGAAACTGACAGTAATTATGCAGGGTTTATTTCTATGTCTTCCTCTATTTATCTGTTTATATGCATGACAACAACAAGCATCATTTATTCATGCATGTGCACACACACACAGACATATATATTCCGTAATTTTTGGCAGCATATTTTTATTTAAATATGTCTAGATATCTAAATTGTTTAACCAAACATTATATATATATATATATATATATATATGTGTGTGTGTGTGTGTGTGTGTGTGTGTGTGTCTCTTCAGTTAATTTATAGAAACATATGCACACTAGTACCTGATGATGATGTAAAATAAACGCCGAAATATTAACAAATTCATCTTGCTCGTAAAAAAAGAAACTTACTCCTATTTGGATATATTTGATTGTTTCGCAAATTATTTTTTCCGTCAGTTTTACTTCGCGCATTTTGATCGGAATGATAATACGAAGAGCCGAGTTCGAATTCCAGTCGGGTTATTACATTCACTTACTTGCAAATAGCTATCAAAAAGGCATGAATCCATCTCCTCCCTGCCAGCTATGGCTGAAGTAGTAGGAATTGTATCTGGAATAATCACTATTATTCACGAAAATAAAAAATTAAAAAAATAAAAATCTTAATGCAATAATCATTCACAAAATGTGTTGTTCTGACAATCTAAAATACGTTTCGGCTTTAAACAACTCACAAAGGGGTGATAAACCGTTAAAAATAGAAAGAAAACAAAGCAAATCTCACGATTTACATTTGTTTCTGGAATTACACGTAGGAATAAATAAAGAAAACATCTTTAAAGTACTTTGTTTTTCTAAACGGTAGCTGAATATATAAATATATATATATATATATATATATATATATATATATATATATATATATATATATATATTCTTAGCGTTCTAAATATCTTTATTCAAGTGTTATAAATGTATCAAGTGGATGTTGGTAGTTTCATTTTCCACGGTCGAGGGCTTTAATAAAGTGACCGTTTAATATTTCACCGTTGGAGCAATTTCACATTAACAAAAGCCACACATCCCACCCACCCAACATCGTCATCTTTCTCCACGGTAACTTTAAATCGCGTTAACCTTACCGTGAGCTAGGAGCGAGTTAGCTCGAAAGTGATTTCAGTTTACTCTCTAATTTCAGATTACTTCCTTGAAAACATTTATTACGTCTGTTTTGTTATGTTAATTTAAATAAGAAGTTTATTTTTAATTCAGCATTTAGTTTTCATTCATCCTCTCTCTCTCACACATACACTCACTCACTCACACATATATTCACATGAACATTCACAAGCAGGACCCCACGAATTTAAAAGGTGTGGAGGGGGTGGCTAAATCTGATGTTAAGTTTTAAAGATACCTGAGTCTTTTGATATGATCTTCTAATAAAATAACTCATTTTTTAAATCTCTTATCCTTTGGGCAATTTTTCTTAATGCACATTGTATTTATTTTCTGGAATTAAACCCGTAAACTATTTCCGTATATAAGACTTAATCTAAAAGTTTTAGAAACTTTTCTTTTTTTTTTTTTTTTTTTTTAAATTAATTTATTTTTATTTTGAAAATTAATGGTAGTAATGACTTTCGTTAAATCATACAGCTCAACTCAGTAATATTGTCATAGATTGAAACGAAGATAAAATTTAACCTTTTGTTTAGTTTTCAGTTTCAACAAAAGGTGAAACAAACCCCACCAATGGCACCGCTATAGTGGCCTGGATAATTAATTCACCCTTTTTGCAAATACTTTCCCCTTCTATATTTTTCAAGTTAGGGTAAGCAGGTTTTTTTTTATTTTATTTTATTTTTATTTTAAGTTCGGGATCATTTTAAAGTAGACAACAATACGATAGTGGTAGAAATATTTTGCAAGAATATCGAAATTTTTGCGTGAGGTTAATTATTAAAAGACCTGATGATAGATGGCTTTGCACAGCAGTAAAGAGAGATACAGGTCAATAAATGAATTTATAGTTTAAACAAAAAAAACTTAAAAATAGTCTCAATATGGGCTTATCAACATATAATCTATATCGATAAGACGATTTTACTTTTTGTAGCTTGTTTCTTTAGTTATAATTTGTCGTTTTTTTGTTTTGTTTTTTTTTTTTTTGTTTTTTTGATATTGTGTCACCCCACTCCAAACAGTTGTTTTTTTTTTTTTAATTTTTATATATTTATGTATGCAAACAGTAGGGGTTGGATATAAAGTATATGCTTTCGACAAGATTTCAACACGGACTCTTTGGGGCCGATATCACTAAACACTACGGCATCTTACCAATTAGGCTACGAAAGCTGAACAAACTGACGTCATTCAAACTAACAATAAACATGTGCG